TAGATGAAGAGATTGCTAAATCTAAAAGCTTAAAAATTTATACAAGTAATGATAGTTCGTTAAATAATCTTGATTTTAACTCTTTTCTCTAAAATGTTGGAGGTGAATATCCATTAATTATTCCTAACGATATTATTAATAAACATTAGATTCTAGTAATAATAGTAAAAGAAAAGATACACCACTATAAATTTATCATTATCTTTTTATTTATTTATTTTTATTTTATCTTTATTTTATTTCTTAAAACCAAATTATAATGTTTTGAAATAATAAACTTTTTTACAATTTTTTGATTCTTGTTAAATGGTGATATTGTGAGGTATCATTTCAATGATTAACAATTATGGCTTAACTTTTGGGCTACCCTCATCAGTTAATTCACAATAATTCGGTGCTTGTCAATTAATTAGTTTACGAATTACTTTGCTTCCTTCTTTCTTACGCGCCTATACGGATCTGTAAGAGCATTTAATGGTACCAGATAACTGTGAATAAATAAAGATGCCTTTTTACAAAGTTCCTTTTATTCATTTTTGATCAGTTGTTATAAATTTCAAATTCCTATTCATTCGTTTATTTGATTGTTTGTTTTATTTGGAGTCTTCATTTTATTCAGTTATTCAAATTATTCAAGTCATATATATTATAAATAAGAAAAGATTCGTGCTTCTTTTATAAATAGCAAGCAATCTTTCTAGCGAACTTGAATTTAAAACTTGATCTTTCAGAAGTTATTTGGTTTCCTGTATCTTTCGTTGGTGGGGGAACAGATGTTATATAATCATTACGGATGATTATTTGAATGATAAATCTTACATAATAAAAAGGTAGTTCTCAGCAGAATATTTATTATATAGTATTATAAAGAAACATTTTCCGTGAGTAACGATGTTAGCCGTTAAGAAACCTTGGCTGGCTAAGCCGATAAACTCCCAGCCGGCTAAGCAGCCAAGAACTTTTCATCTTGGATAAATAATATATATTTACATATATGAATTACCAAAAAAGCAATTATTTAAATAAGGATCAGAATACCATTTTTTACCACGTCTATTTCTTTTCTTTCTAAATATATTTCCAGCACCTCTCGTCGGATAGTGGGTGGTGGTATTACCAAGTAAATTCTTGCTTGCACAGTAAGATTTGGTAAAACTATCTTTTTTTTGAAACAAGTGAATCTTCTTCCAATAAAAATTTTTTATTTTGTTATATATACGTGTTTGTAGTTCCTCATATTAAGCAATAAAAAAAGCTAGCTAATAAAAATTGTCGACTGTTTGATATCATAAAGACTTATTTATCTTTTATTTGATTATCATCAAAAAACAATGATAAGGTTGACTTCTGAGAAGTGCCAGTAAAAAAGAAAATCAGCTGGCTAAGCCGTTAAATTCCTTAGCTGCTATATTCAATGTTGAAAACGTGACATGATTGAAAATATAATATCTCAGCTTACTATTACCCGCTGGGCACTTTGCCCGGATCATAATAATTAAATAAACTTTTTTTTTGTTTTATACATATGTCATTTATAATAATATAAAAATTGAATAGCTTTCATTTATTTATTAATGTATTTCTTTTTAATTGTAATTTGCAAATAAGCTAATGATTTAATGCAAATATTGTACTTAAACATCTGAATACTTTTTTAGTACAGTAATAATTGATCTAAAATTCAATCAAAATTTTTTAAAATCCATCGATCCTAGAATTGTTTGGACACCACCTTTTAACGATTTCCTGACTATTATTTTTTATTGTGTATTTGTTTGAATACAGCTATAATATATAATTATAAAATTGAATACCAATCAATACTCGGACTTTAAGTTTGATTTCGAGAACATATTGTTCAACTTGGTTAGTAGTGACTGTGGCATACGTAAAACAACTGTACCCACTATGAAATCACATAGATATCTTCAGGAACAACAAAGTATAAACGTAATTTTTTTTTTCGGACATAGACAATAAAGCTTTGACAATGTTTTCCAAGCCATGGAGTTTGGTTCCATGATTCTGACTGACAGTCATTTGGAAAAGTTGGTTCCGAGATGAGCAAGTCAATTGCACAAAGTATTTTTGATTTTGATTGAAAATATTCGGTACTGACTGTCATTGATGATTCATAAACTTTTCCAAAACTTTCAAACTCAGTTTCTGAAATACTGACAATTCCATCAGCAGTTAATGAAGTATTCAGCGATTTGATACAAAAATGTTCTCCTCGTCTAATGAGATTATGAGAATACCCTTCAAACAAATTTCTCCAAAGTCTACTTGTTTCTGATATTCCTTTACTAACGACCAAAAAATAATTTAAACTCGCTTTTTCTTCCCATATACTTCTGCAAGTTTACAACTGACATATATAGGATTATGCAAATTGAAGAGGACCTTGCCTATAATGTTCTTTGACTGTTGTTTGTAAATATTGATGGTAACGTCATCAGAGAAGTGACCAGGACATTTTATGATATGATTTAGATTACAAGAAAGTTTTCTGAAAATCTTTGTTATTAGCATTCTCAAGGATAAAACGTGGTATCGGTATTCTTCCCCACTTGCTATAAAACCAATGGGTAGATTGCTGTATAATTGGTCTCGACATTCATCAGTATCTTTTTTGTTCATGCTGGCATCACACGTGTATCCATATGATGGGATTTCCGGTATTCATGAAAATATTCTTTGCGGGTTGAGCAAAGGATAATTGTTCTTGCCACAACATATTTTGATGATATTCCATCAATAATATACCAGGTATTTTTTCTCCAAATAAATTTTAAATACTTAAGTGGGCCTTTTTGAATGATGAGAGCGTTTTTAGGTAAAATAGAACCAAGAAAAAGCCAATTTAAAAATAAGTTAAACAACTTACTGGCGATAAAAAATATTCGTAGGAGATCGAAAGTTATGAAAGGATTTTAAGCAATTATTTGATAAAAAGATTGGATTGAATCTTGATTTTTCATTCAATAAAATGGCCATCAAATTCATGAATTACTTGGAGAGAAATAGGAATTGTTTAAAAAACTTCTACCAACGAAAAACCAAATCCTAGAAAAAAACATTAGAATAAATTCAGAGATGAAAAAGAAAAGAAGAAAAAGAAAAAGAAAAGATAAAGAGTGAAGATGAAAAAGATAATAAAAACAACGATGTAAATATTAATATTAGTAATAACAATATTATTGATAATAGTTGAAGGTTGAATTTTTGTCAGAGTGCTCAAAGAATAGGTAATACTCATAAATTGGCTTTGAGTCCAAATGTTTTTCTCCGATGCAAGTGCTCTGACAATTTTAACTTACTTTTTTACAAGTTATTTATGTATTTTTCTATTATTAGTTGAATTAAAATAAACAAAATAAAATAATGTAACAATTTGGTTTTATTTGTATCTAGTAATTTGTAGTTATTATAAAAGTATCGAATTGAATTTTATGATTCCGGGACATACCAATTCAAATGTGATAGTAGCTTTGGTTTAATAAAAAAAACTCTATAGAAAAACAAGAGTAGATTGTGTGAGTCATGTAGTTGATGTGGTAAAAAGATCTAGTCCAGCTGGATTGAATAAAACTCAATGCTATGAAGGTGGAAAAGGTTTTCAATACTTGGATATCAAATCTATTCTGGGAATTTATTTTAAGAAATTACCGAGTATACAGAAATATCAACATTTTCTTTTTGAAACATCTAATCTTTTGGTACAGTAAAAGTTCAAGAAGTTCCTAATGAATTCAATTTATTGAAAACTAGGAAAGCAGATATTTTTGAAGAGATTAAATCTTTATCTATTTTAGTGTTAACACCATCTCCTTTAGACTACAAAAGACAAGAATACCTTTATTATAATATTCACCCATTTGTAAAGGGTGAGTTTAAAGAATCACTTGCCCAAGACCAATCTACACTGACAATGAATAAAATAAAATCACCTCTATGACTTCATCACTTGTTAATTTGTCACTTACTGTCATTACATTTAATAAGTTTAATCTTTTGATAAATATTCTTAGCTTTTTTCCACTTTTAAAGCAAAAAGGGTACTAAAATAATTTATATACTTAACATACACTTATAAAAAGGATACAAGTATATTAAAAGAATAAATTAAAAAAAAAGGACAAACAAGAAAATCATGGTAAACATTCTAAAAGAACAAGAAAGAAACAAAGAATTATTAAATGAAATTGTAACAATTAGTTGATAAGAAATCAATGAATTAAAAACCCCCAAGAAATAAGTGAAGAAGAGGAAGCTGAATTTAAACAAGAATCAATAGAAAGAATTCACCAAATATTGTTAGAGATTTCCTCACTGTAGTAAGAATATTGAACAAGATTTGGGAGAGTTGATTAATAAGCCATTAAGACAACATTTTATGTGCATTTATTTTCAAGACAGTCTGTATAGGAAATTCATTCAAGAACATGACAAAAACCAAGAGCAAGTCATTAAAAAAATTGTTATTAATTACCACAAATGTAAAAATGAAAATTATTGAGAACATCAAACTTAAAAGAATGATATTGTTGGTCAAATAAGAAGTGGAGAAAACTTCAGAGATAGACCTGCTAAAGATATCATTATCAAAGATATTATCAAAAGCAAGATTGAACAAATTAAGGAGTTGGAAACAAAGGTGGGTCAATTAGAAGAACATCTTAATAGTTGGTGAAAAATGAAGTAAAAATCAAGCAGATGATATAAAAGAAAAAAACCAAAAATTAAAAGTTTCTAGTAAAATAATTGAAAGCAACAATGCAAAAATTAGTAAATTAGAATGAGAACTAGTTCAAGAAAGGGAAAATGTAGTAACATCTAATAAGATAGATTCAGAAAAAGATTTGCAAAACAAAAACCTTACAAAAGAAAATAAAAAGTTGCAAAATCAATTACATTTTATTTGAAAAGGATTTGTCCGCTTTACCTAAAAAGCAAAGTAAATTTAAGCAATTAAAAACAAAAATAAAAACTCAAATCCATCAATTGGTGCAAAGCTAATATAGAGGTAAGCAGATAATTAATGAGAGAACTAACTTGCACGCTTTTAGGTTTAGAAAGAACAAGTTGAAAAACTTGTGGTTTTTGCTCCAATCTTTATGGAGAGGATAATAAGTCTGTTAATCAAATAGTGGCTCATTAAAACAAATGGCAAATATGTTGCAGATGATGTAGTTTGTGAAAAACTGTAAGGAAAAATTTGAAAATGATGAATTATTAAAATGTGAGATGTGGTAGATTACAAACTAGACATTACCTTTATTTTCTTAGTGGTAAATATATTTGTGTCAAATACGAAGAAGATATGGAAGAAAAGGAACTTCCTCTCTTGCCTAATGAAGAAATAAGTCAAGCTGCTTTTTGTGAGAGACAAATAAACTCCCTACAAGAACAATTGAATGAGGCTGAAGAAGCATTGGAATCAAAAGAGAGGAAGTAACCAACTTTTAAGAAAAATCTGAAGAGTGGAGTAAGGAGACAAAAGCAGGAATTATTGGCTATGATAAAGGGTTTAGAAGAAAAAATTAAGCAACTAGAAAAGGAAACAAGAAGTTAAATGAGGAAAAGAATTCGAATTGAAGTTAAAGAAACTAAGAAATGACCTTGATTGAAAATAAGAAAGTAATTTTTCTCTGTATAAATTGAAATTC